TTTCAATCCAACTTTTTTCAACATTGAACCATCTAATTTAACTGCAAATCAACTAGGTCAACTAAATGTCACTATAGTAATTGAATTTTTATCTTATGAAATGCACAACATTGATACATGCTTATGTTCAATTTGCACTGTTCTGCTATAGATATTGGCATCTACTAATTTCCAATACGGATATAAACCTCTAGGATTTTGTATGTCTCAAAGTTATTTATGAGATCTATATAATGCTTGAAGCAAGGACAATTTATTATGGCTCCATAACATCCACAATCCTTTTCGAAATTCTTCTTATAAGGAGTTACAATGTTATAATATTATGTGTTGATGACTGGACTGTATGAAAGAGTTCTCAACTTGTGATTATTCTGTAAGTAATGCACCTATATCGGTTTCGATTAATAATGTTAGTTTCTTCAAGGATTTTTTAATTTGTATACTATCTGTACCTTTCAAAGATATTTAGAAATTGTTTCTATGTAAAAACGTAAGCCTATATTCTGTTTGCATAATTCAAATACAAGTTGTCTTTGTTGCTTTCTCAATCAAAGTAATCATATTTTTGTGCCATTGATGCAATGCCTCTTACATACAACATTTTAAAGCAAGTACTGTAAAGTTATTTAACTTTAAATGATGACTCTAGTTCAATATCATAGAAATGTTTAAGAACTTTGTAACGCTTTAACGATGTTGATGACTTACTAAAGATTGTTTTGATAGATACATTGACCGTCCTAACAATCTTAACTATCTATCCTTACAAAATATTCTCTAACATTCTTGACATTTGCTTGATACACCATGCAGTTCTTTTATACCTCTTTAGGTTCACTATTTGAACTTTGTTAAACTGCAAAATCTGTTTAAGCTATATTTTCTAACACAACCCTTAAATAAAATTGAATGTATGAAGATAAGAAGGAAGTTAGATTTATTGATGTTATGTAATTTGATGTAAAACTAAAATCTTTCAACCTAAATAATAATCATAAAATATATATATCAATATTATTGTTAAGTGTAACCAAAGATTTCTCTCAAGCCATTTAGATTGTGACGCATGCTCTTCATGTATACACACCTTCACTAAATGCTCTTCTTATGAGTATAGCTTAGGCATGTTATTGGATATTATAACTACATGCTTAGTCCAATAATAATATATGGAATCAGGTTCATCCTATCGTACTTTATAGCAGATAAATAATAGAATTACCTAACATTTAACATGTGCTTTCTAAATAAATGCAAATTTAAGTCCTGTGTCACTGAAATCATCTGGATAACTGGCATTGTAAACTTATTTGTTCACTATCTACCTTTATTGTAGAATATCGTAAAATCATCAGAATCTCTTATGAATACTATAAAGCCATGATATTCCCCTTGTGCCACAATCATTTGTGAACAGTGCACAATTGTTGGTGTCAGTAAATCTTCAGCAAAGTTTCCTTTATGCTATTAAATTAAAAAAGGATTCACCTTGTAGTTTTATAAGTGGGAAACGCATATTTTACCTAATTGAATTGACTGCTGACCTCTTCTGTTTTTTGATATCAATAAAAAAATCTTCATATTCGGTTAGTACAACTAACACTTAGGGTAACACTTGCACCACTCTCTTGACCTGAATTAATTGTGTATAAAATTGCAAAAATAACTCCACAATATAAAAACAAAAGGATTTATTGTTGTTGTCATCGTTCTACATAGATAGGCTGCATTTTTTGGAATGTCTTCCAATCATAATGTTCATAATCTCTTTGCGACAAAATATTAATCTAATACCTATTATAGACCCATCCCATCATCCATTTATATTATGAATATAGCACTATTTTTTATGTATCCATAGACCTTGGCTCTTTCTTTAGTACAACTCTAGTGATTGATTTTAGTTTCACAAGTGCTCTTAATATCTCTTAGATAATCCTAAATGTATCTCTCCTTTACAATTTCATGTTAATGGAAATGAATTGAAACCTCTATCAATGCATATCAAGCATAAGTGGCTACTACTTCTAATCTTTATGTAAAGGTTTACTTTTCTTTCATGAGTGAATCAATGCATAATTTAGTTACAACGACGTATATTTCCTACAATCATTGGTTTGCAACCTATAATAAATATGCTGGCATATACTTACTGAAGATCTGCCTACTATTTTGAATGTAAACTGCATATATACCTACCCTATTGCTGAATGTGATTATTCAACTTTTTCTTCTTTGTGCATTAGGTGTTAATGCGACAAAAGGGACTCAATGTTCATACTTGCACTGTATGTAAGACATCAAGATAATTCAAAATACTTGTAAGCTATGTCAAAAATATATTGTATAACTTCATATTACTTCTGTACAAGACTGAAAGTGATTGAAGTGGAATATGTTAGTATCAAAGCACTTACAATAAACTCTTTGTCTCAAATTAATGCTGTTGGTTACTGAATGTCAAAGTTTTGCTGCCTCTTGCAGCAATACCTGGCAATCCTGATCAATATTCATAATCTCTTTAGGACAATAGTGATACTCGCGCGAAAAACTACTTGTGAAGACAACTATTCATGTATCTAATTGAAGTCAGCGATATTATTGTGAACCATTTTACTCTTTGGTGTACAAGCTATATTTTATTATTCTTGTTAAAGTTAATAGGTATCTGATGTCAATTATTTTTTACTATTTATTTACTCTAATTATTGGACTTGTGATATTACAACACCGAATCTTAAATTAATAAGAAATGCTAGGCTGTCAGCTTTCTTGTTACCTTAAAGAAACGTAATTCATCACCTAAAAAAGTACCAGAAATGCTTTCAGTTATACCTACAGTGCTTATTGTGATACTAGCAATCTAATAATTAAAGATATTATCACATTTCTTATGATTAAGATTTGAGCACATCCGATTCTTTTGCTGCAAAATCTGACATATATCTTGTAAACAAAATTAGAATATTTTGTAAATTATCAATAATGGGAAACAATCTTAAACATGTTCTTAAGCTCACTTTGGTTCTACAGCACAATAATCCTTTCTTATGCTTCCTTACTCGTAATGTCTAATTAGATTCTTCTGGACAGTGCAAAGCACACAGAGATGCTGTGACTAATGCATAATTGTTTAGATGAACTTCATAAGATTTTCTAGCAAATCCTAAATATTGGTTTAGCTGCTCATCAACCTGTATATCATCTATAAATGACTTCCTTTTCCCTAAATTTATTTATTATGTGTTAGGCTTATAATTTAGAAAGAAATTTAGTAATTGTGATGCTGGTACTGTCTTCATATTAAATATATATGTTGTACATACGTGCTGTATTATGGATAGCAATTTAGAGCTTAGTCCTTCTTCTCATTCCCTTCTAATATATTAAAGGGTAATATTAAAATCTGGGTTCAAGTAGGATGTATCACATGACAAAACTTTTGAATGAAAAAGTTAATGAAAGTTAATGATGTCTCCCTTTTTGAGCATCTTATCTTGAAGAGATGAAGCTAGCACATAAACTATTTATCCTCATGACTTTATGAGCATCCTAAGTAGTCATTACTACATACCACTAAAAGGGTATCATAGAATATAGAATATTTCATTACATGAATATCTAACAACTGCTGTAAAATTTAGTTTCAGTAGGGTTGGATTTTGGTCCTAATCTTTGGAACTTATTAACTTTCTTCTACAATCGCCTATGCTAAAACAGAAATCATTATTTGATACTGTGAGTCAATTAACTCTAATTCTTGTAAAGTTGAATTAACTGATTGTATGACTCTATGTGTGTTTAATAATGCTAAATTGTGCTGAACCGACATTGCTTCAAAGTTTCTGGATATATTTATGAAGATAATTTTAATGTTTAGAGTGTCTATGTGGCTGATTATAGCAGCGCCACTTTTATCGAAGTGTTCTCTTACAACATGGCCACACCGATATTGCTCTTATCAATTTTTTAATTCACTAAATGTAGTTATTGCAATGATTGATTCATAGTTAATGATGGTGACAATTTCTCTCAAATTCAGTTTAATTTCTTAATTAACAACTGATTCCTTGAGAATTGCGCTTGCTTATGAAAAGGAGACATCACACTATTGATACTGAATTTGATATTGGCCAATCTACAATTAGAGAGACTATGCAGATGAAAAGGAAATTTTGGTGATTAAAAACCATCTTTAATTCCCTTTGTTATAACTGGCAATATGATTGGATATCCTAAGTTTAATTTACGAGTATTGGAGTATCACCCCCCAAATTATTTTATGCTGGCCAATTGCGCTCAAATGGAAAAATATTGTGAGAACATCTAAATGTATTGTGTCACACCAAGCCTCATTTTATGGGCATTCTTTTGAAGCTGTTGGAGTTTTCTAAGAAAAGATAGAAATAATGCAAATTTTATTCTAATGCTGACGTATTACTAAAAGCAAGGTTAACGATATTTATTAAAGCACACATATCTGTATTTCGTATTTATATCTTGGCCATGAACATAAATTAATGTCCTTGATCCTTTTTTTTGGGTAAATCTTAAGTCTTAACTTATGCCTATTTGGCATCTGACATTATTTGCAAATTAATCTTTTTATTTTAAGCAAATGTTCTTAAATCTGCTGAGTTATTGCGACTACACGTAATAATGATATGTTACTTTTTTGAGATAGTTCCCAATTATTGTGACTTTATCTTTTTCATTTCTTCAACTTATGGCAATCCATTAATCATATCCCCCTTTTACAAAATGTTCTTGTGATCAGCTACTGTGGATCTTAAACATTTTCGTATCAACAATTGTAAAATTTATTTTTGGATTGAGGAGCAATATCAAGCCTACAATGTTTATGCTGTCGTTTTAACTCGATAAGGGTATTATATAATGATCCCTTAAGTGTGCTGATCAGCGGAATTTTTTTAAAAAATACAGACCTTTTTTTTAATTCTACAGAATGGATTTAATTTTTTAATCAGCACCATTCGATTGCTGCCAATAATTCTTAAAAATATAGATCGGTATTCGACAACTTTCTGTTAAGGAGATACTTCTTGAATCCATATCCAATAAGTCCCAACTTTATTCGTTCTCAATGCTCTAGAAAAGTCTAGGATTGCTGAAATTCAATTTTATCATGTTAGGAAGAGGATGTAGGTTCTATTGTGGATTTTTTACACATAACATTTCCATCCCTCTTGAAGTCAATATCAAAGTTACCTCTTTTAAAATTTGATTTTTTGTATCACAACTTTTATTCTAAGCTTGTTTTGCACTCTATACATTTTCCTTTTGTTCTAAGTACTTCTTCTAATTCAAGCCTTCATAAATAAATGCTAACATTTATATTATGAAAATGCTCCACATGAGGTTTTATCTAAGTGACCCAAAGTGCCTTGGCATAATTTTAATTCTAAATCTGGATCAAATTTGTCATTTTATTATTTTGCCACCTTTTCTCCTTCTATCTATTATCTCATGAGACACAGCATAGCAAATTAATATACCTACCTGTATTGCTTGCTAATTTGAAAACAAATCATATATACATATCTATTTTGAAAATTTTCGACTCCATATGAAAAAAACCCCGTAAGCATTTATACATAAGCTTTATATATTTGTATGTTATATATTAATAATAATAATTTAAACAATATATTTAAGAACCTAAGTCCGAAAATAAACGATCAGTAGAATAAGAAATATATGAAAAAGAATGGAATAAAAATCATACAACCAACCTAAATAACCATAAGTCTTTAAATAACCTTTAGATATAGTTAAATAATTTGATAATTTAAAAATTGAAGATAAGGAGTAAGAAAATATCCAATATTAATAAAAACAATAAACTAAATTATATGATTCTAGTTTATGTTAG